AAAGAAATAGATATATTTTGATAATTTGAAACTCGTAAATTTGAATCTCTCGATAAAGTAATCATTTTTTCCCGGTCCCTGTGTGCCGTGTCATTCTGAATTTTGTCTTTCCTAATTTTCTACATTACAAAATCATCGTTTTATCTAGTGAACATTTTTTCCCGGTCCCTTGAAAAATACTCGATAAGGTTGAATAAATTCATGGTCGTTTATGGAAGATGGACGAAGTTCCCGGAGGTCATCTTGGGCAAGTTCCCGCGAGGCTTTTTTTCTTGTCTACTTGGCACAGCTGTGTCACCAACTCTGCCCTGATTGGTCGGTGGGTACTTGGACTGTCCATCCGGCCGGCGGCCGGACGAATCCATTCTCTCGACGGGGTGGGGCAGACCTAAGCCTATCTCCGTCGCAAGGTGGCGCTGCTTGCGAGTTAAAGCTACAAATATGCAAATAACTCTAAGGATATTAAAGATATTCATGATATTATTTTTCAAAAACCTTTCCGGGGATATGCCTAATAATATCTCAAAATATCACGGCGATTGGATGTACGTTTTTTGAATCTATAGAGTACACACAGACAGACATTCATTTTTATATATGTCATAATTTGTACATAACTGGATGCAAACCCGACCCAATATGTATGCAATGTATGTTTTAAAAGATTTAATAAAAACAAGGCTTAAAGAAATCTGGGAGAGAAGGCCTACAAGAGGAAACAATCATTAGCAGGGTTTATTATCCCGGAACTCATAAAACTGAGTTCAAGAACCTAGCACTTCCTGGTCAGGTTAGGACAAGTCCAAAGGACAAAGAATTAGCAAAGACCAATCAGAGAGCAGCTCATTAGCCAAGAACCTATAGCGAGATTACACGTCACGAACGGTCAGCCAATGAAAAACCAAAATAGTTTTCTTCTTAAATCGGGAACGGAGAATTGTTAGTTAGGAGCTCGGTACCATCGCAACAAGTTAGCCCCGGGACAACCTCGAGTTAGGACCTTGGAGCCATAGGAATCAGCTTGGAGCAAAATCCCATCTCCTCAATCCTCAGATAAGTTAATTCTCAATCATGCAATAGAAAGTCGATAGTCAACTTCGCTCAATTCCTCAACTCCTTCTCTCCCTAGAATTTAGCCTTTTTCAACTCAACCAAACCCTGTGTCCTCGTTATTTTCCCTTGTATGCAGAACTTTCCACTCAAACGACTGCGCTCAAATCAATCTCATCAATTATCAACCAACATCAAAAGATTTTGCACCCGTGTTCCCACATATATATATAGACTAGCGGACGTACCCGGCTTCGCCCGAGGTTTTACACGAGTAAAGGTTTGTCTAACGAACATTTGTTAAAACAATTCTCTAAAAACTTTTATAAAAAAAAAGATATATTTTGATAATTTGAAACTCGTAAATTTGAATCTCTCGATAAAGTGATCATTTTTTCCCGGTCCCTGTGTGCCGTGTCATCCTGAATTTTGTCTTTCCTAATTTTCTACATTAGAAAATCATAGTTTTATCTAGTGAACATTTTTTCCCGGTCCCTTGAAAAATACTCGATAAGTTGAATAAAATCAATATTAATTGGTTCCCTCGGTAATTGGAAGTTAAAGGAATAGTATCTTTGCCTTGGAATTGTATCATTATTCTTGTCTCAAATAAAGTGGGGAAACTATAACAACAGAAGGTTTTAACTATCTGTGCATTGAACTAGTGGGGAAAATATAACAACAGAGGGTTTTAACTATCTGTGCATTGAACTAGTGGGGAAACTATAACAACAGAGGGTTTTAACTATCTGTGCATTGAACTAGTGGGGAAAATATAACAACAGAGGGTTTTAACTATCTGTGCATTGAACTAGTGGGAAAACTATAACAACAGAGGGTTTTAACTATCTGTGCATTGAACTAGTGGGGAAACTATAACAACAGAGGGTTTTAACTATCTGTGCATTGAACTAGTGGGGAAACTATAACAACAGAGGGTTTTAACTATCTGTGCATTGAACTAGTGGGGAAACTATAACAAGAGAGGGTTTTAACTATCTGTGCATTGAACTAGTGGGGAAACTATAACAACAGAGGGTTTTAACTATCTGTGCATTGAACTAGTGGGGAAAATATAACAACAGAGGGTTTTAACTATCTGTGCATTGAACTAGTGGGGAAAATATAACAACAGAGGGTTTTAAATTGAACTAGTGGGGAAAATATAACAACAGAGGGTTTTAAATTGAACTAGTGGGGAAAATATAACAACAGAGGGTTTTAACTATCTGCGCATTGAACTAGTGGGGAAACTATAACAACAGAAGGTTTTAACTATCTGTGCATTGAACTAGTGGGGAAAATATAACAACAGAGGGTTTTAAATTGAACTAGTGGGGAAAATATAACAACAGAGGGTTTTAACTATCTGCGCATTGAACTAGTGGGGAAACTATAACAACAGAAGGTTTTAACTATCTGTGCATTGAACTAGTGGGGAAAATATAACAACAGAGGGTTTTATTGAAGGAGGCTAATGATTCTTAATGTCAACGTCGCAATTCTAAACACAACTGGGTCAAATAACTTTAAAATTTGCATAATATTAATGTAGTGTTTATTTTATACCATTCTCTCTATCTTTACAAAAAAAAAAAAAACAACAAAACAAGGGCAGTGGTCGTTCTGCGCTCAAGGAACCTGGGTTATAAATAAAATACACCATAGATCAGGGTATGTAAATTTAGCATATTTATTTCTCCAAAAAAAATTGTTCGAATGATGGAGAGAGGTGTTGGACACTTGAGAACATGTCCTTGTGCTCAGCTTTGTCGATTCTTGTGTCTCGGCATTGGTACAAATGACACCATGAAGGAATTGATCAAAATATGGGTTTGTAATATAAACAATAAAAACAAAATATTAACTATCTACTTCGTTCCAACATTTGAATTTTGCATAGAATTTACATTTTAAGTAATATTACACTTTATTCAGATTGTTCTACTATTTGCCCCACGCTGGATTTATTGGCTTGATCTCTCAGAATGGACCACGATGCCGTTCATATTCCTGCGACAGACGGGGCAAAGGCGGTTTATATCAAACCACGTCCTGATGCATTTTAAACAGAATCTATGAGGACATCCTTCAGGTCCAGCCTTGTTCTTAATTGTTTCAAGACAGATGGCGCAGTCATTTTCGCCATAGGCTGGCGTTTCTTTCTCAGAATAGCTTTGAACATGTTTAGTTACATTGCTAAATTCAGTTTCTTCATCAGAAGAAAAAGCTCTTCTCAAATTTCCGTAGGTTGGAATGAGGTTTGCATTCAATATATATCGTATATCTCTAGGGACAAATATCGAGCTGTGTGTTGGTGAGAAGTACTGGAAGCTTGCGTTGAGTAAAAGTTGGAATTTTCCCAAGGTAGGGTCAAACGGCCTCTTCCACCGAGCTGGCATCCAGTAGTACCCCACTCACGAACTACGATGTGGGAAACCAGTGAAGGCAGCAACCACATATCGAGCCTGATAAAAAAAAAACGATGAGCAGGAATAGACGACGTGCTTTAGAAGAGGAAACCTTGTAGAGCCGAGCCTAGTTGTCAGCGCTATGTTTAGAGTCTGTGGCTCTCTAGGTTCGGTCCAGAGTACGAGGGCGACTCCTACGACACTTGCTCTAATCTCGAAGTTTCCAAAAATAAAAGTATTTGGTCTCGAAGGGGCATGGATGAGCGAGTTTTCCGTTCTCAGGATTTCAATTCGGGGGGTACCTGGTAGGGCCGATCACCCCGGGCATTGGTGAAGACCAGACACTCGCGGACTTCTTCCATATCAGAGTCTCTCATATATCTGTACTAGCCGAATGACCCGGGCAACGCCCGGGGTTTACCCGATTAAATGCTTTTAT